CCCACTCTGAAGCTCCTCCCCTGCCCCATCCCCTCTCTCGTTAGGCATACGCCAAAGTTCCCTGCCCTTAGCCAATATCGCTTCTCTTCTCCATTCTAGGCTGATTCAGGCGATCCTTATCAAACCACTATCATATTTTAAATGAAAGTTTTATCGAAGTTCTCCTTTCCAGCTTTATCATATCCTTCTTTTGATCCCTATCATCAGGGCCGTGGAGTACTGTACCCTTCCTCGTTGACGGCTTTTTTATTGTTTATTGCTTATTTATAACGCTGTGCTTAAGGCAAACGCAAGAAAGACGAATTTATTCAACTCGCAACTGTGATTATCAGAAAGCAGTGTTCACTGAGAACTCAGCAATTCCTTCCTACTTAGGCGCTTGAAAAGCCGGAAGGCTGGAGAAGCTTTCACTACTGTAGCCTTAAGAGATGTGAATTTTCACTATATTCTCTTTTCAGATGGGAGATGGTGAGAGTATCTTGACCTACATTTTTACATTGTGCCCTTCTCTAGTCATAGCCATCAAATAATATAGTATTCGAAAGCGCGAAAGTGGCATAGTTGCAAGTGATACTGCTTACCGAGCGCATGGTCCGGGAATCAAATTCAGAGCCGTACTCGTCCAGACCATCGATCCCTCCACTCCTCCGCGGTCGATTAAAAGCAAGATTCGGGATAAAATAGGTGTGGAAAAGCGTTCAGTTATGAAGCTAGAGGTGGGAGGTGGTCTGGAAAAGAGAAGGAAAGCAAACGAAACCACCGACCTCCCCTATTTCAGCCGCATTCCACCTTGGGATAGAGAAGGGCGCGTTGGACGAGTTTCACGAACCTAACTCTAGTTGCTCCAGTGCCAATAACATTGGGTCGCAATGGGACCGCTGCCTCAAATGCGCCCGCGCTTTTCAAGCAGCGCCACGTGGCAACCGACAGCGGAGGGTGGGGAGGGTGGGGCTTGCGGACGAAGGTGTGAGTTGCGGGTTGGACGAGCTCCTTGCGCCTTTGTCGCGCACTTTCAAGCGGCAAAAGGGGCGCGACATCAACACTTGTCCGCCTGTCCTACTACCCCCGGATGGAACAGGCGAGCGCGCCTAATCCCGGAGTGTGCCTTTAATTTGTATTAGACATGTATGGGAAAGATCAGAACACTGACTTGTGCATCGGGTAGCTAGGTAAGTCATTGTATATGCAGAACATATTCAACATTTCACCACTTCGATTTTGAATGGGGTAGAATGCGTGGCGCATATCGTTGGATTGATCGATGTCGTCTGCTTTATCATCCGTCCTTTTATTTGAGAGTCCTCCTTTACTTTACACCTTCGCATGGCGCATTAGTGTAGCGAATTCGAATGGGAAAAATTCATCACTATGATCATTGGTTCGAATAGCACATGATCGAACTTTGGTGGGTTTAGCGCCTGTTAACGGCCTGAAGATCGTACACGGAACTGCTATCATTTGAGCACAATCATGCAAAATACATTCATGATGGTTGATTTATGAATGCTTGGATGCCGATCTTACACTCGTTCCGAAAATACGCCCGTTTGTCGAGGTGGAGGCGGACACAACCACTGACGTAACTTATTTCCATCAGTTGTCCGACTGCCGATGCCTAGTTGCCAAGCCACCGACAACGACACTCACGTTTGATCCGTCTGTGTGGCCAAAGCGCTATAAGACTGAAGCACCGGTTTTCTTGAGTGTTCAGTTTACTTATATTTCGATCGGATTTTGACTGCGTACTTGTCATACGACCACGTGCAAGTAGACCCCAAGTATGATCTGCCACATTCCTTGAATCAGGGATATCAACTTTTGCATGAATAGTTCGGGTCGAGGGGCGGGGTAATCCATCTGGGCGATGTAGCGGAAAAAAAACTCCAGGATGATTTTTGTAAAGGGATTCTAGGGAAAATTTCAAAAGAGAAATGTTTCAATGATCATTCAAGGGCCATTGCTTTCTCTGGTAATGTACTGTAGTTTTATTGATGGAGGGATTGAACTCGGTTTTACTGAGACCAAACTGCTTCCTTATACTAGTGTAATTAAATGGTTAGGGGTCAGGAACAAATGTTTTAACAATGCGGTAGGCCCTGAGCTCTCATCTATCGGATGGCGTTTTGTGGACCGGTGGGCGAATTTTGATTACACTTCAGTTCAGCTCTGATTACACTCTCGTCTATCCAATTGCCACCTCCTTGGCAGCAGAATATAATGTTAGGAATACTTAGGCTTATTCAACTCTATTTACTGAGACTTACTAGCTACAGAACTCGCAACCATTGATATCTGGGCTACTTTTATTAATAAACGACCTTTTTTCGGCACATTCTCCACTTACTTAAATGCAGTTCTGATACCATTTGAAGCCTTCTTTCAAACTGTCATTTATAGCGGCTTTGTTCAAGGTTTTCTGAATTTGCTCATTCCGCTTTCAGGACTAAATCTATCTGCTCCCCCTTTTGCACAAAGCATCTTTACGCTCAAACGCTGACCACTGCAGGCAACTTTCCCTCAAAGTGGTCCCAGAGAATTCCCGGGTCCGAGCGTTGGTGTGGCAAGGGGAGCAGGGAGGGAGAGGGCATTATCATGCAGAGCCCATAAGCCTATCAGCCTTACTCAACTAGCCTCCTCTTACTTGGACTGAGCCTTAGAGGGCTAAAAGAAAGAGGTTTGTGTGAACATTTTCTATTTTCTCCGAAGTTCCTCCTCTCTTGGACTCAGTCTACATGCCCCAATTAACTATACCATTACCAGGGTTTGCCACTATACTTCACCTCTAGGTAGAAGCGCCTGCAACCTTGGTAGTGACAATGTCCGTCCTTAACTTAGGCTCCATAACTCGTTCTATCTGTCCTGCTGAATCACAGTTCAAGATTTCAGAATACCGTAATGGGCAGCTATAGTAGTATATACCGAAATTTGAGCGCGCTACCCCACCCCTACGAAGCGAGCAGTTTGGAGTTTTCTAAGCGTGGGAACTAGAGTAAGCGCTCTACCATATAATTTTGCTCATACACTCTCCGTGTATTAAAATTTGTTTTCCGGTCGTCTAGTACATTGTCTGTGGCTCTCACGTTTTTCATTGCTCCACTTACATCTGTATCACTTGAACATGTTCTTCACCCTCTTTCAATTTCATTATCTTTCATTTCTCTCTCACTCTATCGCTCCCTCTCTGGCCGGCTCACCTCACTCATTCCGTCCGACTTGTCCACCCCGATGTTCCACCCACGCTTTCGTCTTAGCTATCCCCATCTCACTCATCAACACAACTCCACTTGTTCTTCTATGCAAGACGTGCTTCACTGATATAGCGCACCACTCTTGGGATTAATCAGGGTGGGGAAATTTCCCAACCCCTGCCAATTTTTCAAGGAATTGGTGCAAACTCTTCAATACTGTCGCTGTTGTCACTACTTTCATGTGGTGGGTTGCATCCCCGATGGAATCGGCCAATCGTCAGTTAGGTAACTTATAGTACTGTAACACATGTTAACACGTGTATCTGCATATGCCTGCTGTTCACTTGATTGTTTTGATATTCAAAAACTAGTTGATGCTTCAGGGTTCACTGCCCGAATGTGGGCTAGACCCCTATTGAGCGCTGCTAAGTCTCATGTATCTGATATTAAGCCTCTGCAACGGGATGCTAGGTCTCCGTCCACTTATCGAAGCTGTTTTATCCCTTACCTCGTTTCACTTTTTAACAGTGAAACAGCATTGGACTGCTTGCTCCTCAAACATTGAGCGTCACACCACGGGCAACTAGTGCTGAAGTAAACTTTACAAGTGATTGTGTGGCGTTGGCGAAGATTTGTAAATGCTATTGACAATGATACGTGTTTTCATGTTCACGTGCACTCACACCATATAACTGCAACGCCTTCTTTTATTATGTGTCACAGTAAAGAGTTACAAGACAAAGAGCTGATGTAAAGCGATTTCTCGTTATTGCGGTAACCAACCATCTGCTGCAACAGGCTCGAAATTCTATGAACTCTCCAAATGTGCGAAATAAATGTGTCAGTACCTCGAAGGATTGCATTTTGGTTGACATTCTATGCAGGTTCTTTTTACAATCCTTCAAAAAACCTCTCAGGATTACAACTGAAGTGTGGTGTTCCTAAGTGTATCACAATTAAAAAATTTTGTACCTGAAGCTTAAATTTTACATGAAATTTGGAATTTCTGGAATCCGCTTAACTTTTGAAGGAGTACTCCCTGTGCTATTTCGCTGGTTTTATGGCTTTTTTGACGTCGCGTACGCCGTAACTCTTTTGTTTCATTCTGTTTGCGGTTGGTTACTCCACTTGAAGGCTCCTGGATTTTGCGAACGGTGTCTTTAAGTCTCTAGTCTTCAACAGTAAGGCGTTCGTCGTGCTCTTGCTCGATTGCCTCATTCAACGCGTGGTCATTCCAAGAGTTGATTACAGGTCGATCATAGATGTCAGAGGCGGAGCAGCTGGACCAGAGCGGAGGAGCTCCTGATGCCGAGATCGAAGAGGAGGCCATTTTCATCAAGAAGGAGATCACCGTCGATATGGAACAACTAGCTAACGGTGAACCACCGCAACAAGGTCAGTGAGATGGGAAAACGCTGTACTAGTTACAGGCTCATTTCATGCTTGTGCTACAATATGTAAACAGTGTTTTTTGAATGTCAAGTAACCCTAGCATGCTGTGCAAAAGTGCATTTCGGGAGAAATGCGTTTTGTGTTTGCTTTTTTTAATATTTGTAAGGTTTGATATAGGCAGTACTTCATGCCCGGAACGGGGGTGTCTTCCTGGGGAGGAATCCCCCTTAAAGCTTCCTTGCAGCCCTCCCTGAAAATTCTGATTACTGTAAGCGGCACGTACTGCTGCACCGCAAAGAGAATAAATAAGTCAGTGTGGTTTTATTGACTTAAAAAAGTGAATAAATTTAAGGATTCAACCCTGCGTGACATGATTTTGGTGAAAGGATGCAAGATCAACAGCATCATGGCCCTATTTGAATTGGGTATTTGCGTCAACGGCCTCCGTGTCCTACTGATGGAAGGAGGGATTGTAGATCGGCAGCTTCCTCTAACTGTAGCCCCGATGAGCATTAGAACACTCTCTATACCCTCCTAAGCCACCGTCGTTCTAAGTTAAAAGAATGCTTAAATATGATTGCTGAACATGAATGGGAGTATTGCTCTGCGAACAGTTGCAGCCACCTCACGTAGCCTCAACTCGAGCCTCAACAGCTCTTCCTGAAATCCCGGAGATGATGCCTCGAACAAGAGATCTGTTTTTGCGTTTATGGCTATTTTGAGGTGCTTCGGGGAAGCCGAAGAAAAATGGCATTCAATGCGCGTTCATAAGAAGTAATCGGCCAAATTTTTATGATGCAATTCATTGCAACATATTACACTCGGCCAAGTACTTGGCAATACCACAGCAATGTACCAAGTGTTACGTTTTTGTATAAATTTTTTCTTCCACTGCAATGGCACTGATTTCAAGCGCAGGTTTCACTGCTTCCTTTCGCTATCTAGCATACTATTTCGCCCGGGTTTGAGTACACCCCAACTGGAGCAGACTACTGAATTTGATAGTTAGGTACTGATGTAGTCATTTTGCTTCATGCTCAATCCATGGTCCATGCTTTCGGCGGTGGGTTTTCTCTGCTGGCAGGTTGTGGTTAGCGGTGTTCGAAATTGAAACTAAGCGCTACCCGCTCAGTCAGTGAATCAGCAGAAGCAGAAAAAGGAGTCATTGACGGGAGCCTCTTTGTTGTTGAGTTAGGAGGGGACTCTAATGCAGGACTTAAACGCGGCGATCACGATGGCTGGAGAGCGTTGCAGTTTCGATGATGTCATTGAACATCATAGATGGAAGGAGGTTCAGAATCGGTTTGCTCCACACCACCAGGCGCGCTGAGAAGTCGAATACACCAAAGGCGTTCCGTGACGTCATTAAACCGCACCGCCTTCCAGCCATCGTGATTCGATCGAACTTTAAATCGAAGAAAATTCGCATCATATGAGGTCTTGATGATGAAGGACGATATGGTGTTCAGGTTAGATCAGAAAAAAGCGCTGACAAAGGCGAGCCAATGAATGCGATCGGTTTACGGACTACTTGATTTTTCCTCAATGGTCCTGCCGCGATGGCTAGAGCACAGACGATTAGAGAATGCCCTAGGACTAAGCCTTGGAGAGGAGAGGGACCCGCTAGAGAGCGCAGAGGCGGTAAAGGGCTGAGTTCAAGTAGTCCGTCACCCGAATGCGAACGAAACGACCTTCAGGCTCTTTAGGCTCACTTCAAGTTGTAAAGGTTGTGCAATCAGTGCGCTTGCAAACTAGTTTACATCATTTATAGAGAGGATTGTGGCATTGTGGAATGTAGCTTTAAAATTGCCGCGGGCGACGGGTAACTTTTTTTTGTTTATCAGACTTATTTCTAACTCGAATATCCGTTTTACTACCTTGAAGGCGGAGTTCGTTTGAGCTCTGGAAGAAATCTAATTTTGTTGAAGCTCGGCGTGTCATGCACTGTGTGACCGGTAGAGGATAAAAAATCGTTTTCTCTGTTTTTCTCCTCAAGTTACATACCCTACTTTTGAATTAATCATACGTGGATATAGAATGAATTAATATGTACTAAATTTATGAATTCCCCACTCCCACTTTTTTTTGATGGTGGAGCATGGTGTATTTCCTTTGTCGTACAGGTTAATTACGGTCGAGCTTCTCGACTGGTCAGAGTTTCGACAGTTCGTCTCAAAGGCCTAGAACTGGTTTGGAGGCCTGGCTTACACCTGCCCCATGTTAGTAGGCAGACATGGGAAATAGATGGAACTGAGTTGTTTTTGCACCAAAGTTTTTTGCACGTAACCCAATACTAGCACTTTTAGTGACCTAACCTGTCCTAATTGTTCTGTCCAATGTTGAAGATTTCGTTTTAAAGAATAGTTCCCGAGAAGTTTCATAAAGCTTTTATGAAAGTTTGTGCTAGCTTACTGAATTGTTGTATAGAGTTTGACAAGATTTATCTGGCAAAATTGCTTCAACCAAAATGACATCCAGTACTGTCTTTTGGAAGAGTTTTGGGAGCTACGGCAAGATGCGCGGGCATCCTCTAAGCCTAGAAGGGCCAGGTAAACTAGGGGCTAAATGAAAATTGGTCACACACCCTGTAGTCTCTCCTCTGCCGCCTAAGGCTTAGCCTCGATTTAAACAAAAAGCAGAAGTTTTACGCGGAATCAAATCCACTGTCTCCAATATGACCCCGTATATTGGGATAGCGTCGAATTTTGTTTTATTTTTCAGATTTATTGACAAAATTGTGTTCTGTGTCGGCATGCTGCTAGAGTTGCATAGAAATAGTACCCACGTTATTCGCATCTTTCAGCTAGTGTCGAAACAGCTGACGCCGAGGAGGAGAAGAGTGCTCAGCCTGCGGACGAGGACAGAACAGAGGATCAGGCGAGTTTTAGTGTGCATTGCTGGAGCGAGTATGATTTCAGCTAACATGGCCTATTGATCGGCACTCAGACGAAAAAATAGATGGGTTGTGCTTGTTGTGTATGACACCTGACCCAGTTCTTTCGCTCCAGGAGAAAAAAAAAACGAGAAAAAAATCTTGTCGTGTTAACGGCGGCTGCTGGCAGTTTAGCCCCTTCCATCTGCCCGACGTGCAACGCCCTCTCACATTACTTTACATATTTTGTGCCTTTGCACGTTCACCTGGTTCATTTAGTCACAGCACAGCAGGTGTTGGGACAAACAACCAGCACTTACTAGAAGGACCTTTAGCTTGGCTAAACTCTTTAGGGATCTTAGTGGTATCTCGCAACGAGTTTGCAGAGCACAGTTCATATGGGGACATATTGTTCAGCAGATTCGGCAAGATTTATGATGTGTGGGTTGAGGCACGAAAAAATGCGCTTCTTGTTCTCTACCTTCGTTTAAAGCTGTGCTTTTTTTGAGGCGTATTACACTGGGTGCCACGCAGAGGCAGTTGCCAATCTGAACACATGCATACGGCTTTCCGCCAACCGCAGTAAAGCGAAGAGTCGGAGTTCGATTGCGACGGCGTGATTTCAGTCGTCAAATAGCCATTATCGTAGTGTGTGGTCCTGGCAAAAAAAAACAGAACAGCAAAAAAACTCTTTCGGGAATGCGACGCACAATTCACTTTCACAAATTCGTTCTGGGATTTGAACGCGATCTTGAACTTCAATAAATTGAAGCTAGGGTTTAATCTGACGTAACCCCTGAGATTTCCATCTACCCTTTCAAAAACGAGAAGAGCGTCGGGTGCAGACCATACACCACAAGTGACGACGGCCTCCACAAAATGTAAATGTTTTCTGCCAATGAAATGATTAGCCTGTTGCAGTTGTATTCTATCAGTTGTCACTAATTACAACTATCATTTACCAAAAATCAGCTATCACTATGAACCACTACTAACCAGATTTACTTGGAGGCCGTCGTCACTTGTGGTGTATGGTCTGCACCCGACGCTCTTCTCCTTTTTGAACGGAGGGTAACTGAACGGGCCTGATGGCACTCATTAACCGATCCAGTGAGGGAAAAGGCTTGGTCTACCTGTATGGGACCCAGGATTTTACCCGCACATCGTGCTCATGCTACCTTCCGTTTTACAACTACATTCCATGCGTATTACTAGTACATCTACTACTACATATTCAAGGAATAAAGAACAAGAAACCAAAAACTTCTTGAGCCTTACAAATCTTTTGGGCTATTTGAGCCACGGCATAAGTCAGCCTTACAAGTATTTCTTCCTTACGTAAAACAATTCAATTTGAAGATCAAGCGACTAATTCATTGCCGGAAACTAGCAGCCAATCGAAAATCCAAAGTTTTTGCCTCCATTGAACTGCCTATCTGTTTGAAAATGAAAAGCCCTACTGAGGAATTCGTCAAAACCCAGCCCAACGTGCTTTGGGATGACACTCACAAGCCCAACCTTACAGAGTGTCGTGGGTTGGGATGATCATTTTTTCCTTCATTGCCACTTCTTGTCCTTTTCACATTTACAGCTTCGCTTCCGATAGTAATGACACAGCTTTGAAACTTGCATTCTTGATAAATCTATTCATCTACAGGTTCCGGACATCACCGGTACAGAAAATGTCGATCCAATGACAACAAGCATGGACGGTATTGAGGAACTGCCTGCAAATGAAGAAGCACAGGTTGAGCATACACAGCTATAAAATTACAATGAAATAGACTATTTCAAGGTTTGCTGAGCTCCCATGCTGTAGGCTTATTAACGACAAGCGCAGTTTGCTGTCTCATCGTGCTGTGCGCAGCGCAATATCTAGTTTCCTTCCTCAATAACTTGAGGAATGGAGTAGTGAAAAAGCGAAAGCGATCGATAACGCCTTTGTAACAGACGGCTTCAAGAATTACCTAAAAAATTGTTTGCTCGGCCGCCAACAACTTCGGCTGCAGCTGCCGCTTACTGTTAACCCTCGTGTTCGTTCAGTTCAGTACAATTCGCTGAAACATGCAAGGAAATACTTGTATGTATCGAAGCAAAACTTCCACAGTTTTGAAAGAATGACTATATTGAAGAAGTTTGATTAAGTGGATGAAGCCTTCAATCAGGACATATCGGGCCCTGAAAAGCACAGTTCACCAAAGGGAGAAATTTAAACGTGTTGCCTTCCTTTCACGTAAAAACCGTTATGTGTGGTCGCTAATTGTAGCGTACAAAGTTTCATGGTTAAGTTTCAGCCTTCAGAAACACGCCGTGACGACAGCTCACGGACACCTGGGCGGAGCCAAGGGGGCGCATTCAAAGAAGTATAATATATGGTGGGGCGACTACGTGTTACGTGACGAGTCGTAGGAACCAATTAACCCCAACCTTTCAAAATTGGACAGTAGAAAAAACGCTTTAACGCGATAGCTTAGGGTCCTCAGTAGGGAATTATTATTGTTGTAGGTTGAAGGCGGAAAAGGTTCCTTAATTACGCGTTCAAAGGCACAATTGGGAGCGCCCTGCCGCAAGCACTTCCGAAGTTTTACGGCGGGAGTTGAAACGAGTGGTAGCGCCTAAGGATTTGATTGATTCCCAGAGAAGAACCTTTTTTTCGTTCTCATAGTGGAGCGGTTCACTGAAAGCAACTGACTGATTCATGAGAGGGGTAGAATCGTACAATTTTCGTACACAATTCTTTAAGCCTCTGAAGCTAATCCATCTAGTCAAACTTCTCCGAAAATGTGACAGCTGTTAGTGACGAAGCCCTCATTTGGTTGTAGACATTGCTAACATTTGTTTGCTTTTATCCTTTGTCCCTTTGCTTTATGTGACCTATCCGTGAAGGAGTACGAAGATGCTATCATGGAAGAAAACGAGGACGAGAAGCAGGAGAGTGAAGCTCATGACGAACATCAGGAATCAGCAGAGCCGCCCACTGATGATCACGACCATGATGACAGCAGAAGCTCCAAGTATCGATCTGCATATTACGATATTCCTCAGCTAAACGATGACATAATTCCCCACCTTGCCGAGGACGGAACAGAACAGGTTATACCTCAGTTACATACCATTTACTAACATTTATGAAGTGCTCTTAGCTGTAGAGCTTCAGTTTTGTGAAAGTTTTTTACGGTTTCCTTATCCATCATTCTACAGTAGTCTTTTGCTAGAGTAGAGATCGTTTTGAAAATCAAATTGAGAACCCTGATTCTCCACAAAACTTCTATTCCAATTCCTAACACCACCGACTTTAAAGATAATTTTCCTATGTAAGAGATACGTATTGCAAGGCGGAGGTGTTTAGGAAGCAGCAGACAGCGAAGCAGCCGCAGCCTCGGAGACGGATGCTGCAGCTGCTCCAGCTGATGAAACACAACCAGCTGACGAGCCCGTAGTAGAAGAGGTACCCAGATAACGTCGTGATCATAGTAAAACTTCTCTTCAAATATCTCCTTTACTGCAGGTGCCAGCTGAAAATGAGGCTCCCGTGGCTGAGGCATCGGTCGACGTTGAAGCTTCAGCTGAACCTCCCGTAGCGGAGGCCCAGGTTGAGACTGAAGAAAAAGCAGATGAGGGCAAGGTGGAAGAAACTCCCCAAGCAGAAGAACAGGTAAGCGCCTTATAGTCAGTAACTCATAGTCAGTATAGCGCTATAGACCTTGAGAGCGAAGTAAAGCATCTGCATAACTTCTTGCTTTATCTTGTTATTGTTTTTTACTTCCACATATTTGAGCAGTTGGCACGTATCAATTGAGACAAAGAGCGATGTTTATGTCGCTAATTGAAGCACTGAGAGTTGATAAACAACAGCATGCGGTGCTTTGCAACTCCAGTGTATCCCAACGGAAATCTCCAGACGGCGCGCCGAAATTTTCCCTTACCTGATACCATTTTGTATTCCTCTCCAATTTACCAGGAATTTCTTCATTCCTCCCTCTATCTGGCATATCTGGGCGGCTATGCTGTCTTAGATTATTGCTTTTACAAAGGAGGGAAAATAGGTTCACCTGGCCAAGAAACGAGGTGTACACTTCTGTGCTGCTCGGGCGCTGAGCTCCACTGCTTTTGTTCCGTTTTCTCTAAAATTCGGTTCCAGATAGTGGTTCGGTCTCAGAGGTGAAAGGTTGCGAACTCCTTGCCAAGTTTACTCATGCTCTGCTTTTTTCAAAAACATGCTTGGAAACACTTCTGATGGCGTTCACTCATCAGATCTTGCTTACTGTTGCCAAGCTGCAGAGAAATGTAAAAGAGTAAACTCTGCACGAACCAATCCCACTACCTCCCGCCTATGAGCCCGGGCCACTACCGCTGCGCTTTTCGCTTCAGAACTTCTCTCAGAAAATCCTTTAGCAGTTAGTGAAACCAGATATGAGCTCAGCAAGAATCACTTACAGTTAGTCATTTTCATTTCAACTCTCCAGGTTGACCTGTTGACCTTCACGTTTGGTACGAGCCCTGGTTGAGAGCGCTATGCTTTCACTCTCAAGCTGCTCACATCAAATACATGAAATATTGCTATTTTGTCAGCTATTCGTTAGGTATTGAGGCGGTATCGTGAAACGCGGGGGGAGGGGGCATTGTAGCCGCTCAGCATTTTAAAGGCAAGATTCGGGATAAAATAGGTGTGGAAAAGCGTTCAGTTATGAAGCTATAGGTGGGAGGTGGTCTGTAAAAGAGAAGGAAAGCAAACGAAACCACCGATTACGCCCCGTACAGAGACCTCCCCTATTTCAGCCACATTCCACAGGCGAATTGGACGAGTTTCACGAACCTAACTCTACTTGCTCCAGTGCCAATGACATTGGATCGCAATGGGACTGCCTCAAATGCGCCCGCGCTTTTCAAGCAGCGCCACGTGGCAACCGACAGCGGAGGGTGGGGCTTGCGGACGAAGGTGTGAGTTGCGGGTCGGACGAGCTCCTTGCGCCTTTGTCGCGCACTTTCAAGCCGCAAAAGGGGCCCGACATCAACACTTGTCCACCTGCCTACTACCCCCTGGATGGAACAGGCGAGCCCGCCTGATCGCGGAGCGTGCCTTTAAAATCGCGGCAACATTTCTTTGTGCCATAGACTTTCATTTCGGAACTAAGCCTTATGCGTTATCGAGACTTTAGAGGATTGAGCTGTTTTCATTTTCCTTGAACCTCCCCGTCCACCCTCTTTGGCTCAGACTTAACTGATCTCCCCATAGCGCCAAAAAATTTAAGATATCCTTTTGAAAACGAATCATTTGTCATTTTCTTTTCCTGCGATCCTTCAGCAGTGTCACTGCAATGTCCGTGATTTCTATGATACAGAAATTCCTCTGCATATTACTAGTCCAGTACGTTCGCCGTTTTAGATACATTTGTGTACGTTTTAGTCGCCTGTTTAATCAGTTAGATGTCGGTCAGACTCTGCGATTGCATCGCGCGATGCAACCGCTCGGCGCAAGAGTGGGAGCGACGGGCGATTGGCCCCGCCTCCGCCCACGATCGATGCAGTCGACATCGGTATCGATCGCGGCGGGCCATTGCCCGCCGCTTGCACTTTTGGCAGAGCCATTGCGCAATCGCGATGCAATCGCAGAGTCTGACCGGCATATTACCAAGAATTTATCAAAAACTTAATCAGCACTATAATATATGGTGCTTCCTGGGTTGAAGTAACGACTTTCAATTTTGGAAAAAGGCTGTGTGATACGAAACAACAATTCTTGTTCGCATGGCCGAGTGAAGCGTATGTGCATCACGTTGTAAGCAATGAGTCAAGAGTATGACAGTCCTTCGACAAATAGCTGTTTTGTCCAAATTTTCTGTTATATCTTCTTCGTTCCAAATGCTGAATTGGTCGCTGTTTCGGAGTCAATGAGCGGTGTTTTTCTTAGCATAACTATCTGCTATTTATAACTGGATTTGACGAAGGTAAATGTTAAATTATAATTTATTAAATGTTAAAACTAAAAAATTGTGATTAATTAAATATTAAACAATGCTGTTCTAATAGCTGAAATTACTCCAACTTAAAGCTCTACCATTCCTTAGAATCCGACACGATCATGATTGTATACTGCAGTATTCAATCCACTTTTTTGAATTGGTAACATTTTTTCTGCAGATGGCTCCTCCTGGAGGAACACCTGTTCCTGCTGATGCTGAAAAGGAGTTCGAATTGCAAGCACCACCAGAAGGCAAGCGTCCACGTACCCCCAACGATCTCGACAACCCTCCTGAGGCAGTAGAGGAGCCTGTAGAAGAAGCTCCGAAAGACGTAGAAGAGCCACCGAAAGAAGAGGAGGAACCACCGAAAGAGGTCGAGGAAGCTCCCAAAGAAGAAGCAGAACCACAAAAGGAAGTGGAAGAGGAGGTTGTTGAGAAGACCGAAGCCGCCCCACAGGAAGCTGCACCAGCTACGCCTGCTGCTTCAGGTCAGAATTTTTACAATTATCGCACTGATTATGTATCCAAGCTTCGAATAAACTGCGCAATTTGTAGGCCTTAACAGAGTTCAGGATGTAGCAAGGAATTTCCCGTCTATGACATGTAATGAGAGGCGCTACCCATCGAAGGGGTAACATAACAGCACAACTCTATCCTTAATGAGATTCAATTAGGAAGAGATGCGGTGTAGATAACCCAACAGGAATAAATATTAAATTGATTGAAATGCGCAGCAAAAGTTTTTTGTCCTATTGAGGACTTCGATATTTTTAGAGGCGTAGACTCCAGCTAAGGGGCCCGCATGGGTTTTAGGCGAAGCGATCAGGAACTCGCAGTAGAGGTTTGGAGTAGCTTCAGGTCCAGGGAAATTCTATGGCTACCTAAGGATGTAGGGAAAAATGCTCACGGTTAGTGGATATTGCAGAAGTGGGCTAGAAGTGAAACCGAAAATTCCGATTGCTCTTCTGATTTTGCTGAAATGGTTGAGGATTACGATATTTCACGAGTGTGGAATATTTTCTTGTAACGCATCTGTTAGTGTGCGGGACCGAAGTAGTAATGGAACAAGGCACAACAAGGTAAATCGCTGCATGGTAAATTCGATATTAGTTTACGAATTTTTTAGTTGGAACTTTCTTACTATCCACTCCCTTTACTTTTAAATCACACCACATCTGTTCCACTGTTTAGAAGATGATTGAGAAAAACATATCTTCATAAGAAACCTATAAATGTTAAAAGATGCATGCAGTGTACTAAAATATTTTTGATCCCACTGAAAAGCGGAGTTGGTGTTCACGTATCCCACAGCGCCCTTCCTCTAATTGCGCCCAATGACGTCATTGAGACCGCCCCGCCTTTCAGCATTGCACCCACTACCTTTAAAAAATTTTAAACTGGGAGAAAGTTGATCACTTGACGACTCAATCTTATAAAATCTCACTAGCAATCCCAACCGTAGGCTAAAGGAAATGGTGGCTTATAGAAAGCATAAAACAGCTAACAAGTTAGAGAGGAAATGAAAGTACTGTGTGCTGTAAATTGTAATTCAAATTGTAATTTCAGAAAAGGTTGAGTCTGTTCCGCAGACACCGAAATCGGCCACAGGCTCAGTACCACCAACGCCAAAATCGGCAGCAAAGGAGGTTGGGCATGCCATTTGATCGATAATTCGATCTCGTAAAAATATTACATTTTTCCAGGCATCTGCCACTCCAGTGGGGTCTGTGCCTCCAACGCCGCAGACGGCCACAGAAGAGGTACAGCCAAATTTTAGAGAATCACTAACTTTTTATTTCCCTTTTTCTCATATCGATAAACCATCAGATTAAGGCGTTCGGAACACCGCAAGGCTCAGTGCCAGCGACGCCAAAGACAGATGAGGTGCGTCTGTAACTCTTCAAAATGTCCCCCTTAAATTTTTTCTCAGATATTGACTTTGAATCATTTTCTTAAAGAAGTTCGGAACTCCTGCGGGATCTGCGCCAGCTACTCCCAAAGATTCCGCAGGAACACCAAAAATGGCAAATGGTGCTATTCCAAATGGTAGCATCCCTGGAACTCCGGCCACTAAGGTTGAAACGTAAGTAATTTTTGTTGGATTCCTGAAGATGGTTCTAGAGCTCCTTCTGTTCCGGCCTCATTTGATTTGATGTGGTCAAAAGAAAGTGCGTCTCACTTTTAATTTTCCCGTCTTCTATATCAACCTTTTCACCTTTTGAACTCAGACAGCCAGTTTTGCTTTGTGCGTCACCATGATTTTACACCCTTTTCAAAGCTTTGTTCAATTTCCAACCACATCAATCGAATTTCGAATTATTTAAGCCCAAAGGTGTCGACACCCAAAGGAACTGGAACCCCGAAAGCTACCGGAACACCGAAGAGCAACGTCGCCTTCAACTTTGAAGAGACTCCGGCGACCCCTAAGGAAACCGAAGCGCCGTCTACACCTGCAAAATCAGTTAAATCGCCAAGAACGCCTCGCACGCCGAAAACACCAAAAACACCGAAATCGGCGAAGTCACTAGCGTTGGTTTTGAATTTTTGCGACCATACTTCCGAGTTTTAGCTAGGAAAAATTTCTCGTGTTACATCTTTGAACGAACTAATGCTGTAGTAATATTTTAGTGCAGACGAGCCGGAGCCACCAAAGGAAGAGCATGAGCCTGAGCCAGCCCCGGCACCGGTGGAGACAGAATCCGCAGAGGCGGAGCCTACAGAGGCCGAACCTGCGGAGGCGGAGTCTAAGGAGGCCGAGCCGGCAGAAGCTGAGCATGAAGAGGCCAAGCCTGAAGAAGCTGCTGAGGCGGAAGCGGCCGAGGAAATGCATGAAGAGCCACAAGCCGAGCCAGCTGAGGATGTCCATGATGAAGAACCCACAAAGGAAGCGGAGGAAGAAATTCCACCACCGGTATGAAAGCACGTAATGTCAGAGTATTTTAGTAGACGGAAAAAGATTCTCAAAATGATCAGTGAGTGATGACAAAGTGCAAACATTCAGACTAAAGTTGAAGAGGTTGCTGCTGCACCAACCAGACGATCTCCAAGTCCTCCTCCCGTTCGTCAGCGAGCAGCATCACCCTCCCCACCACGTCGTGCTCGCCCATCGTCGCCGTCGCCTGAACGACGTCCAGCTCGTGAGCACGTCAGCTACGACCAGGTTATAATTATTATACTCTAATTACGTTAAAGGTAATGCTAATGGTCACAGAGTGACTAATAAAATGTACAATTAAGGATTCCCATCGCCATGTTCCTCCTCCACGAATCCCCACTGCAACATCATTTTCGTCGTGGAGCCCCCCTGAAAAATCGTCCTACACTGCTATTAGGTTCGCAAATCACATAAGTACTCTTCTGCAGTCTAATTTTGACGATTAGAGTATTACGGCTAGAGTAATACGGTGTGACGCTTAGAGTATTTGTTTCAGTCCCTTTGTAACGAATCCCAACAAGTATCGCAATGAGTACACTGCCGACTGTAACTACCGCCCTAAAAGCTCCTACTTGAGCCATTTTGATGACATCGTCAGCACAGGTTTGTCGAGCGTTTACTCTCTTTGTGGTGGGCTTAATTCACTGGCAGTTTAGGAGCTTTTTCATCTGCTCTTTACTCAACTACAAGACTGATCGAACGATCACGTAGCCGCACACGTGAACGTCGACAAGCAATGCGCTCACAGAGATCCATGTCCAACTACTACAGGTGAGTTTGAGGCTATCAGCCCTCTGAGAGCGACATTCGTAACTTTCGAGTTCTAAGTGCCTCTTTACGGAGTTCGACAACATTATGCTACCTGGCTTAATTTCTTCGAGCCACTTAAATTTGCCGGGCGTCCTCATCGAGAATGTCGCTCTTAGTTGAATAGAGTAAAAACTAGTATTGCAACGTTTATTGTGTTCCAGATATCTCTACGACTCGTAAGCCTTTGCATAAAAACGATTGCTTAACTTTTTTTTCTCATGGGATACAGTATTATGTGTTTTGTATGGATGTTGAAGCTTAGTTGCGTAGTCCCTTCGTTTTGTTGCCTAAGTTCTCCGGCAGAGACGTGACCGGATGAGTATTTGCGCTCTGAAAGAACAACTTGGGTGTGTAACGCTTGCTCACATGATGCGCTCGTGCCTAAATTCCTATTCTTTTTTCAGGTGTGTCGCTGAATTAGCCCTAATGTTCTGACAACTTGTGTGCTAGGGTGTAGGCACGAGAAATCTCGTCCATTAGCTCACATTTGCTTAATTGCCCACTTTGTGAGACTGTAGCGCCCTGATAATGCACTTCTGAACGCGACCTCGTGGACAGCTCTTTTCTGCTCACAGGGAAGGCTATCCGTATGACATGGTCCTGAGCTATCGCCTTAACTAGACACGGCGCCTTCCAACGCGAACGCCTGATGCTATTAGTCGACGCGTTCGCGGCGCGATGTGCCTCCTACACCACGACAAATCATTACAGCTCGATTTTTTGGCACGTGTCGCAGAGCACCTTGGTGCTGCGTACGACAGAGCAAAAGTTATGTACCCAAGAACTGTTCTGATGCAAATCACGCTGGTCACGTTATTTCCGTACCTTTAGCACCGAGTCTTTGACGCCATGCCAAACTAGCATGTAGTTATCGGAGACTTATCGAGTCTTGCTGACATAGAAGCTTATTAATCGATCATTGCAAAAAGCGCCAGCGGTTACCGCTAGCGCAACCGGTTTAGGTTTAATTTGGAACAGATATGAGCTAGAGATCAATCGTCATTGGATGCGATTTCAGGTACACGTCGCAGTATCCAGCTCCAACTCGTGCTCGTGAGTACTCAACGCCGCCGTCGCGTGAATACAGCAGACCACCGTCGCGAGCTGGATCGTTCATCTCATTTATGGAGTACTCCGGATCAAAGAATGGGGAACTCTCCCGTAATGCCTCTCGTTCTTCCATCTACGATTCTGCTCTTTCCCGTAGCAGGTACTGTCTGGAGTTGTACAAGCCTTAAAGGCAGTGGACACGCCTCCCACACCTAACTCTCCTCCGTCAGCGGATTATCGGCGGCGACTTGTCTAATAGCCTAGCGTGACCACTGCCTTCCAATTGAATGGGATGGTGTCAGGAGACCTTGGATGCAGCCACATGCCAAAAAATGACGCCGTGGACGCGGCAACGCGGTAACTTATCTCCGATGTTTCATGTTGTGCCAATGCCGCGCACGACGGAACTTATGACGCAGCCGTTGTATTATGGTGTGACATAACGAGATTTCCTGGTACCCATCCTGAAGCCGATGTCAGACTTTGCGAATCGAGCGATTCGCTAGCGTCCGCGGTCGCGTCGCGGCCAGTGAATCGAGCCATTCGCTGTACCGCAACGCAACCGCGGACGCTAGCGAATCACTCGATTCGCGAAGTCTGCCCAATGTTAGCATATCTACTTTATAGAACTCAAATCAAGTTTTTAGCTCTCGCGTGAATAACGCTGACTTGTACTACGGAGGTGGTCGTTTGTCCCGTGTTGACAGCTATGTGCGTGATCTTCATACTCCTTATGAATACGAGGTGAATTCTCAATAGTATGTGATTTTTTCGACGTAATAGCAAAGTAGTTGTTAGATGCCGTCAACCTATGAACGCTATCGCTCTTCGTCTCGATCCGGAGGTTTCTCAACGATAAGTGGCTACACGGTAAGCATATTACTTCAAAATCTTTCTCTTCCATCTTAGGCTAAGCTTATGTCCGACAACTTGGTGTTTCCAACACTTCCTTGCAGTAGTTCACCGTCCCCCTTCTCAGTTCTACTTTCACTACATTAGTTCTTATCAATCGACAGGTCCGCTATTTTTGTGGATTGAGATTTCTGAAGCCAAGCCAAGCTTTTGTTACGCTCATCTAACTTATCTCGCTTCTTCATATCCTCTCTGACGAAATCTCGCCAAATACCTTGATATTCAACTCCTTTATGAGGGGTCATTTCTGTACTTCCACGAATGCGTTCGCACCTCCTCTGCGTAGATGTTGTGAAAGGAAAGCCAACTCGGCATTGAGCTAAGCCTGAATATGGATGAGAGAACGTCCTTGAAACCGCATGAAGATACAAGAATGGGAAAATTTTCTATACCTTGTATGCCTAAGCGTACGTGAGCTCATGTTCATTGATCCAACCCATGATTTGCCCACTGCGATGAGTTGGTGTCGGGTCCTAACCGTTCCGTGGTCAGAGGCGCCGGACGAGTCGCAGCGCTTACTGCAGTGATTTCGCACTAAGGTAAATAGAATGTACTATGCTACGTCCACATCACACAGCACGCGCTGCAACTCGTTCGCTGACCCGTCTGCGTCTCTGCCTTCTCGCCGCGCGACGGGCCTCCTGTCGGGTACTCATCGAACATTGACATTTCTTTCTATTTAAACCCGAGATATCAGATGACATGAACCATGGTCATGAGCATGTATGAGGTAGGTATATCCGGATTTCCGAGTTTCTCTTAATTAATTTCATGCACACTTCATTTTCCTTGTCCAGTTGAATGTTTACTGCTGTCAGTCTTGTCCAGTCATCGTCCATACACTCCCTTTGCCTTTGCATAAATTCCTACTGGACTTGGTCGTGAAGTACGCTAATCGAAGCTAATATACGTATCTTTGAGTTGTACATTTCAGCTGCAGTACCCAAAAAGCTTGCTATTGGTCATCTGATTGCAGTAACCAATCGCGAGGAAGTATTTCATTTCTTCTACTTTTGCTCTGATTGTTGTTGAATAACATTGCACCGTCCTCATTTTGCACGCATAGCACCGAATACGTGCTCCTACTTCTCAAGGATACATTTAATGGGTTCTTAACCGGACGCTTCTGAAGTGGACTTTGCTTGGAGAATTTGGTAAAAGCTGATATTTTTAAGTTTGATGAGTTCCAACGCTATTTGAGTTTAAGCTTGGGTATAAACTGGTGCGCCACACCATTTGACTAACCTCCTTTTACGATACGTGACCCTGAGAAGACAAACAAAGCTTGTTTGGTTTTGAATCATCAAGCACAACAGCATTTTTCAGGGCCGCATCGGTCAACTGGAAAGATCACTGTCTCGTGAACTAGTAACCAAGGACAGGGTGAGCAAACTGCTCATAGTATAAAAATTCATGCGCCATTCAGTTCAGAATGCTGAGGCCGTAGTCACTATGCGACATAAGCATACCTGTTTCCGGCTTGCTTCAACACGCTGACGACAACACGCTTCAGCTTTTCTCCGGGGCTCATTTTGTTCGGTTAATTGGCGTTTTTCGTATTCCAAAACTACCTAGATGCATCATCTTGTCCGGAAAACAGTACACCAATTAAAGGACGAATTTACGATGGAAAAGCAACCCATTCCAAATTGAGGTAGAGATGGTGAGTAGTACCAGAAAGAAAGCGAAACCACGAAAAACGGCCCAGAACCGGAGAAATGGGACCCCTTCCTTGTCCGTTGATTTGAGCATTGATGGGACTCTCATCGCTTTGCCCTCTTCAACCCTACGCTCTCTCAGCTATCTAATCACTCGCCACCTATTGTACTACGGCGAGTGATCAGACGATCGGTGGGCGGAGATCGCCGAACTCGCCAACTTTGAGCCATGCTAGATCTCAGAGTCAAATCTTTCGATGCCGATTGCGTGTCTGTCCGCACCCTCAAGAGATTCACCGCTCTCCCCACTAGGCGATTTCTCCCTTCTTCGACCTTCGTTCTTTCCGTGCAATCCTCCTTTAAAAGGGCTGGAATTGTTTAAGGAGTAATGTCCGTTTTGAAAATATCAAGCAAAAAGTCGCCGAGATCCGCGCACAACGGGCTGTCGTCAACGTGTTAAAATCCTCTCTGTATAAGGGCGTAGATTTGAACTAGTAATAGAGAAAACCCGTGGGTACAGGTGGGATATCAACACTATGATGACAAAAGTGAACAAGGGAAGCACAGTACGCAAAAACGAACTCTTGTCAATAGAACTATCTGGGCCATCCAATTCGTCATAGTTTTCTGCATATAATTCTTTAGTCTCGTTTCCTGCCCCCACGCGCGTTGGTCGTACTCCACAGAATTTTCAAGTAACCGCTAATGTCTAATCGGAAATTCACTCTTCCGATCGCTGAACTCATCGATATTGGTCCATTGAACTGTCGTACTCGAGAGACGAACGTTTCCTCCGAGAGGCACGATGGAGACGAATGGCGCACGTCGTGGCTACATTCCCTTCTGAAGGCAAGCGAAAGCAGGCTGCTTGGAGCCATAGTGACTACAGCCTCGCTCTGATTTTGCGCTTTCGAACGCTAGCGAATGTCGAGTTCTGCCTACATTTGTTGGCGGTGCGTGACAAAAGGTATGCCTTTGGTCTTCTGTTCAGCCAGTTTTGATGGCTTGAGAAATGCCACGTGCAAAGAGTGTCCGTGATTGGTCACTGCCGCAGTGAAAGTCTACCAATCAGGCTTCTCGCATTCCGGTGCTTGATCGGCTGAACGAATACGACAGTAGGTACTAAGAACTTTCTTTTGGGAAAATCTGTTGGCACGTTTTGGCACGCACTGCTCATCCTCCATATCAAACGATGAAGGTGGTGGGGCTCAGGTAGGCGATCGCATCGACCTCAGTAAAAGTTGAATTTTCAATGTCAAAGAACCAGATTAACGTGAAAAAAATCTAAAATTTTTAAAACAGCTCATTCAACGCGCCGACAAATTCTTTCCTATTTTTCTTTTTGACGCGATTCGACCTAACGCCTGGGCCATGAGTACCCCATCGTTTGAAATGACGGACAAAGGATTAAGGCGAACAGACAATTCGGCAATATAGTCTATTCCCGAACTCCCGAAAGTGATTTATTTATTGTATTTAGCTGCGCTCCGAATACAGTCAGATATCGAGCAAGCTGAATCAGGCGTTGCGGCAAATGGATTTGCTGCGATCGAGCCCATACTCGACTATGCGCTCATCTTCACATCCACGTACAAGTGTCTACGCTCATTTCTATCCCTACTACTAGTTTTATGACGCAATTTTGTTGTCCAACAACCCGATCGCGTACTTCTATTGCCACCAGGGACCATTTTACGCCCAAGCTCGATCCCATTCAGATATGCATTTGCTCACGCTGACAGCGAGCTTTAGATGAGCTCCTTTATTTTGTAGTTTTGTTTTTTTTTAATTCAGCTTAATTTTTGACACGCTATACTGTAAGAACAAAGGCTACCACGCATATTATGCAAGTCCCTATTTTACCGGAATTGAAATTTCGCGACAAGTGTGTCATCATCACGTAGAACAAATATCGATTTATTTTTTTAGTGTTATAAATGTGTAATATACATATTCAGCTTAGGTTGCTCCCTTTTACATGACACCAGCGCGCCTCTGTGTTTCACGCCACTCTATGTCCTCATCTTTTCCTTTCTTCTTCTTTTTTTTCATATACTCGACTATCGCTTTAAGTCTTCCTATTTGCTCTGTGTATGGAAAAAACTTTGAAATTCTCCACCCGAAAACGCGACTTCTTCGTTTTAGTGCACAGTATTTAGGGTGTATGCAGCACTTTGCACTCACTAACGTGTATGTTTGGGCTGTCTGCATCTTCAGAAATGTAATTAGCAATGATAAAGTTTTCGTACTCGCAGGTTTTCTGTGTTAATGAAAATGGACTTTCATCTGAATATTTTATACTTTATTTTGTATCTGAATTTGAAATGTGCTGTGAAATCGATAGAGTTGATTGTCACGATGAACCCACCTATCAAGAAAAGCTCTGTTTCAGAGATCTTATGCAAATCTAGGAGGCAAGAACAACAGCTGCTCGACACTGAATCGTGCATTTTCTGCGCGCCAATGGGAAAACGCCTTTTAAATGGTTCGTTTTGTTTTTGCTGAATTCCAGACAGATTAGGTGTTACCTATGGCCCACTCGTATAGGTAACCTGATCTCCAGTCTCGACAGGTGACGGATGTGATTTCTTGGCACGCGGCAGTAGTGAAGGAGGTTC